GGCTGGTTTCTATGCACAATGTACTAGTAATCTCAACTCACGGGCAGCCGATGATGCATATATTTCTTGGGCATGTATTTCCAATTTCCGGATATAAGGAAATCCTGTAGTTCCGGGAAGAAAATGATTGAAATAACTGGGTTCTAGTCCCAGATAATCATTGGCAGATTGCATTCAAATATAAACTTTGTCTAAAAACAAGCTGTCATGTAATACCTTGAGCTACCATGAACATGATGACAAGACATGCGAACATTTGTGTTCTGAATTATAACAAATAAAGTTACCGACATTAGTATCATGAATATGTCATTCTAATCAAAATTAAATGGTTGTTTTGTACTTTTTTCAATTCATTAATTTAGTGCTCTATTATGAGTGAAACACGTACACAATTTGTACTCCAACGGGACAAAGTTCATCATGACTGTTTCAATGACCTAATTTGCATATTTCCACATATATTATATCCACCTCTTTTTATTAAACAGTGATAGTTTTAGTATGGTGAATTTTATGACAATTTAAATAATTATAACAAAATAATATTAGTTATTGGTATTTTAATTAGTCTACATCTCTGTACTAATTATGTCCTGAATTAATATACTTAGCTTCAAATCTGTAACCATGGCTGCAAACATCAAATTCCCTCTTTTATTATTAGTTTTAAATTTATGCATATTACATATACAGAGAAATAACTGTAACTATCGGCAGTTAACATTTTACAGGGCCAGTAATTAAGTTGTACAAATTGGCAACGTGTTTTGTATAGATAAATTAAAGGTTGTATGCAAACTTTATCTTGTTAAACCAATTTTCCCAAGAGATTGGTGAAAATACGATTTCTCTATTTCCATAGAAATCAAATGACTCTATTAGCGATCAATTACGACAACATTTTGATAAATAGTTTTGTCTTGGAAACAGAATCATGTTTATTTTATGTGTTTAGGGCGTCTTTAGAGTTCTTACAAAAGGAAAGAAAGAATATCTTATTCAGGCTTCGTCTGAAGACGAAAGAGATGATTGGGTGAAGGCAATTGGAGAAGCTATACGCCGATCAGAAACAAAGTCTCAGAACCGATCAGACGGTGAACAGACACAACAGTCACAGCCACCAAGCGTCAGTCACAGGTAAGAGCATCACGATCGCTGGCTGCACGTTCAACGAACCCGGAACTTCGCATGAAAAACAATTCTTTGTAAAACATACAATGATATAGAAGCACAATAACGCCAAACAATTGTATACATTAATGGCGTTACTCTTCGTCGGGTAGTCTAATAATAAACATGAATTCCTTTGTTCCTGCAGTGAGCTTGTTGGTGCGATGCAAGACCCGGACGCCGGCCTGCCCCTTATCAGCGTGACAATCAATGGAAAAGAATACAAAAATTGTTTCACAGGTACGATTGTATAGATTGTCCAAAAATAGTTTAGGTGTATTCATAGCTAATCCTCGGGGGCGGACATCCGGGCATTTTCACCGCCTGGCAACCCGCGGCGGTGAAAACAAAGGCCCAAAACTCGCATAAAACGGTACTTTGGGATGATTGTTGAGACTCCTCTGAACAGTGTTACAAGATTAGCCCTACGTGTGTAACATATATAAATTTGATTGTTCGCGATTACTTTAAAGTTGAGTTTGTGTTGTTTTCTCGAATTTTCACCGGCTCGACCGGCGTTCCACAGCAGCGCGCACAGAGCCCATAGAAATGCATGGTACAGTGGTGCGCGTCTTAGCAACGTGGAACGTCTGTGACGTAGCTCCGCCCCCGAGGATACCGGAGATATTGTGTGTAAATTGCCAAAAGCAGCATTTATATATTGTCGAGTGCGTAGTGTATTTGTATATGCTATTGAAGATAGATATTTCCCGAAACTGTATAGCATCTCGTTGACTATACTTCCAGCGTTGGTTCTTTGCCAGAAGGACTGTGAGGGAACTGAGCCAAAAAGTAAAATATCACAAGTCCGGACAGTTAGATATCGCATGGAACTATAGTTCCATGGATATCGATAATGATTATATAATACGAGCTTATACTATACGTTGTCATAAACACACGCCACAGCTTGTCCAGTTGTCCAGTATGGGAGTTACGCTAAGTATGTCGTTGTTATTCGTTGACCTCCGTGGTCAAAATATCACTTGGTGCCGATCGAATCACAGTCCCTCAACACTGTGATCGAATACAGTATATCCCAAATATAAATGTTTGTATACAATGTTTGTATTTGTGTAATATAGATAGATAGGACATTATTACAAAGTCGGGAGGTATGGAATTGATGTGGTTCATGCTAAATAAAATAATGTGTACTAAATTATTTACATACAATTTATTGCTGTCTGTGATAACCCAGCGATCGCTGGACATTAATAGTTCGGCTTGATCATTGTGATTCATAACATATTTGAATCAGGATCTTTTGGAATATATAATAACTCACTGGGCAATGATAACAATTGCCGCTGTAGTAGTAGACGAAGCATGGGCATACATTGCGAAAGTTTAAAAAAAATGATTACATAAAAATATGATTTATGTGACAAAATTTATTAACTGTGGCCTATCAAGACAATATTTAAGAAAGAGAATATTCACTTAACTTAGGTTCGAACGACTGTCTGCACCTGTGTGCAATTAATGTGACAAGTGATCGAGAATCACAAATAGAGAGCCATTGTCTCCAACGAATCATGCAATTTCCGCATTTTGTACTGAAATTGACAACACACTAATTTCAACAAACAGTAGAACAAAACATTATTGCAAATTTGGAGGGCACGTTCGCTGGCCTTTGTTGCCATATCCTGTTTCCTGCTCAGTAAATATATAGAGGTACGGTCACGGTGGGCTGTTTTTTGGTATTTAAAACACCTTTTTTTATTAGAGCATACTTTCAAAGTTTACATAACATATACAGATGCCTGGTAAGTACTACTAATGCTCGTATTTTGTATGTTTGGAAATGAACCAGTGTATTATAGGCACATAATGTCATGTAATATTACAGAAGTATTTAGTATTCATGTAAATTCATGTGTTCACATCTTAGGAGAAGGTATTTTGGAATGGTTGGTATCGTGGTCATTTGTTACACACCCAGATGAAGCTGGTACCCTTGGTAACAGTTTACTGCAAGATGGCCATATACAGTATGTAAGCGGTATAAAGGATGGTTTCAATTGCAGCGCTGATACGGTATATAGATTTGTAAGTATCCACAAACTTACAAAAACTTGTTAACTTCTAATACGTTTGCATAGATGTCTTCATGAATGGTTTGGGAACATGGGGTGTGTGATTCATTTCAGATCTATAGTTAAATTATAAATAAAGGGCTGTTTTAAAAATTCTAAGTGACCGGATAGTTAACGCAATGGTAAATGTCGCACACAATCGGTGTTTCTATATAAAAAAAAAAAAAAACTAGCTCACGTACAGTTTTTATCCCCTAAACTACTAGTATATGATATAGTTGTCGTAAGGCCATATAAATGAAGCATTTTGAAGATATGGTTGTGTACCGTTTATTTTTAAATTTCAGTCAACGCTCAAGTTATGTCCGAGTGGTAAGTCGTTGGTGGATAGTAGTAGCGATGACGATAGCGACGAAGAGGGGCCTGCTCAGCGTCGTGAAAGTTCCAGTGACGCCGACGCGGTAAAGGGATACAAACCGAAAGGAAAATTCGTGAAACAGGGTTTTTTGGTAAAAAGAGTAAGTCTGTGATATATGTAATTTCGAGTATACTTTGATGCAAGTTACGAAAATAAATGTACAATTACCAGCAAAAAAATATTAGTAACAATGGTAGTTAGTGTTCTGTGGATATTGGTTTTGTTTATTTGCATCTGTCTTATGTCAAGAACGCATACTGCACCAAAGTGCTTTGTGCAGAGAATACGGTCACATGATTGTGTCATAGGCCCTCTAGAGGGTCACACGATTGTGTGTATACTTTTGTTTATTTTTGACAGGGGCATGTACGTCATACGTGGAAGACCAGACTGTTTATTTTAAGAAAAGATCCACATCATATGATATACTATAAAGGTTCTAAGGTATTGTGTCGCAAGTGTTTTGTTGTAAGCAATATCATAACGTCTTACTACGAATTTGATTAGTTAAATCTTTCCGCTTCTTTAAATAATATGTCTATCGAATTTCTATCTGGCATAATTGTTGACAGTTATGTATTACCATGTATATTCACAGCAAGACGAAATGCCATTGGGTGAAATCCCTCTCACTGCTGGGTTCAAAGTTGAATTGGAATCCGCTGGAACAAAAACGTCCGGTAATACACGGTATTTTTTTCCTATAAACACAACTTGAAAAACAGGTCTATAGACAGGCAATTTTTAAGTAATAATTTGAAAGGAGAATTGCATATATAATAACATAAATGTATTCATAATACTGTAGGCCTCCGGCCTCAAAGTATACTCATTGTAATTACATAACATGTTACAGAGGACAATGTCATTTTACAGTGACTGAAAAAGAACAAGAAAATATGAAAAGAACATGAACTGTCAGACCAAAATAATTGTATTACGTTTTTTTGTGGCGAGAAAAATAAATTTAGAAATGTTACGCAAGATTACTGCATTTTTTAATTGTAATAGTGATATAATTTTTTCGGGTGAGGGAAGTGTATAATAATAACTTGGGATGTATTTAGATCTCAACTCTTGGTAAAACGAACAGATAATGCAAAAATGGTACTCGTCTTCTACACAATTGGTATTACATAAAATACAAACTCTTTCTGTGCATGTATTATGGAATTTTCTATCAGTTTCAATACGTGGCAATGGGCAGAAATTCTTAGGCTACATAATGCTTCCCTGTAACAGTCTTTTTGGACTGTTTTAAAATAATTCTCTTGACCAAATATATATTTAAATTTTCTATAAAAGCACAGCTTCGGAAATAGCTCGAGTCCACTTTGCCAATTTTGAATATCAATGTCCAAGCATCGCTGTTTGAAA